TTATTAACTGTCACTCTATGAGGTGAAGGATAAACTATGTTTGGCCACGGGATTTGCGTAAGAAATTCACGCCAAAACGTGCAGTTCGCTATCCGTTCGCTCATCGTAGTGACAGCTACGGAGATGTTGCCATGGTATTGGCACAAAAGCTGAGCAGAGCGGCACGCTTCCTTATATTAAGACTCACGCTACGCACACTCTGTACCGGGACTGCGCGGGGATTATCTGGAAGCGACTGAATTAGCACAGGACACGCGCGGGACCTGCTCGCTTCCACAAATTACCCCTGCGCTCTCCAATTGCACCTTACGCGTCGGTTCGTGCGCTGCGCTTGCTCATTTTACTGAGCGTGTATGGGTGACCCTCTTCCTCACTAGTGACATACATACACATATGTGAGTGCGTACATACATATATATATATATATATATATAATATATATATATATATATATATATATATTATATATATATATATATAGTGTGTGTGTGTGTGTGTGTGTGTGTGTGTGTGTGTGTGTGTGTGTGTGTGTGTGTGTGTGTGTGTGTGTGGTGTGTGTGGTGTGGGTGTGGGGTGGGTGTGCGTAGTATATATATATATATATATATATATATATATATATATATATATGAATATATTTTTTATAACTCATTATTCTTATCTCTCATACTTTGGAAAACATGTTCATTACTATTATTTTTTTACGTTTTCATGCCTAATAAGCCTTTCCAGTCTGTTGTCATACTGATTAATTATTTTAGCAGTATTCCGAAAGGCATAATAGAGTATTATATAATCTTTTTTGGAGGGAGAAGGCGTGGGTGTAGTAATTTATCAGTCCACATTATTTCTACTTCATAAAATCATAAAACTGATTTAATGTATATTAAAAAGCAATGTATATATCAGCCATTATGCAGTAATATAGAATATTATCATAAGAGCGGTAGCAGAGACGGCGGTGGTTGCTGCATAGTAAAGTAGATGCAGCAGCGGCGGCAGTATTCATAGTAGTAGTAGTAGTAACAGCAGTAGTAATGATAATAATGATAGTAGCACGTAGTAGTAGTTGTAGAAGAAGAAGAAGAAGAAGAAGAAGAAGAAGTAGTAGTAGTAGTAGTAGTAGTAGTAGTAGTAGTAGTAGTAGTAGTAGTAGTAGTAGTAGTGGCATCAGCAGCAGCAACAGCAACAACAACAGTGGTAGTAGTAGTAGTAGTAGTAGAAGTAGTAGTAGTAATAGTAGTAGTAGTAATAGTAGTAGTAGTAATAGTAGTAGTAGTAGGAGTAGTAGTAGGAGTAGTAGTAGTAGTAGTAGTAGTAGTAGTAGTAGTAGTAGCAATAACTGAAGTACAGTAGTAGCAGAAGTAATAGTATTAGTAGTATTACTAGTAGTATCCAGCAAGAACGAATGATACTTTGCTTTTCAGAATACATAAATAAAAAACACAACTTTTAATGACAATGAAATATTTAAATAGTTTTTAAATCAATACATAACATTTTGATCGTACAATAACAAACTGCCCCTCTATCCCGTACAAAATTATCCGACGCTCATTTGTTTGAAAACAAAAACAACCTCGCTGTGCGTGTTCCAAATCCTATCCTATGATGCGGGGTCGGATCTCCTTGTAGATCCTCTTGAAAGTGTCACTAAAACATCTATAGTTCGGCGAGTGTCCATGGAGTAAACAAAGTCGCGTCGCTCCGGAGGGTATAATTTCTTCCCAAATTAAACCTTCTTGGGAGACGAGTGGGAGGAGTAGCGACAGCTTGTGAAGGAGAGACGAGACGCAGCTAAGGTCAGAGAAGAAGGTTGCTACGCCGGGAATCGCTATTAGGGAAGGAGAAAAGGTGGGAACTGGAACTTGTGCTAGATCTTAAAACTTGACTGAAGTCTTCTCTCAAAGTTCGTGTGATTTAATTACTCTTTATTTGTATTGGTAAGATTATTTTTAGTTCGAGGTGTTTCAGTTGTTGAAGATTTATAGGATATTTAGATTATATGGTAATCCATGTACAATTTGCGATTCAGTATCAAAGTTTTGCGAAATAAAGGCAGGTGCATATCCATACAAGCACGTATCAAGTATATCATAAAGAATTGTTTAATTGTGTATAGAAATAGTACTTTACCAGGCATAATGTTTGGCAAGAGCTCAGTGTTGATGTCTTGCAGTTCAAAATTAGCCTTATTTTGATTGAAATAATGGTTCCTTCACTTTCCATACATACTTAATTAACCCATTCATGATCAGATTTCCTTATGCCATTCTGAGGCACATGCTAGGCTTCATGCACAGTCAGCTGTTTGAGAGAAAAATTAGAGGCACATTATTAATTCACTCACCCTGCCTTGTTTTCTGTTTGGCACTTTGTAGCGCTACAAAGTACATAATTTCAATGGAATGGGCTGTAGTGTAATATTTGTATTATTCTTGTAGTGCACAAAATGCTGCAGTCCTGAGATGTAGTACACCTAGCAAATGACTTGTACATTATTGACAAACACAGATAATGTAGAATGGCTAGGAATATTTTTTTTAGTGTGGATTCCGCTGAAATTAACCTTCTTACGATAGGTGTCACACATATGAGACACCTGGAAAAGTAAATATTTCCAGGCGTCCTGCTGGTGTGACGCTAGATCGGAGCTTGCGCTCTGATTTTGTCGCTGGTGGCAGGTGGCGCACGGGCAGGTTCCTGGACTTGCCCATGTGCTGATTTTGAAGCCGCTTGGAAAATATTATTTTTGGCTTGAAAATGTACCATCGCTGGTGGGTTAAGATCAGTGGGATGCTAGTGGGTACTTCTTGACTTGTATTTGAGGTTAAGGACTCTACTGACAATGGAGAAAATTAAAGATCATATTGTAGTAGGCAATAAACATCTACATTCATTGATATCAAAAGTAATCTGCAGGACACAGCTTGTTTGAGTTAAATAATGAAAATATGGCATGGTGAATACTACGCAGAGACTAATTCCCCATACACCATCAGTGACTAAGTCCAGCCGTCTTCATCTCGTAGCGAACAACTTAGCATGTAGCTGGTGATGTCAAGGCCGATTATTGTTAATCACTGAGAAATGCACTGTACAATTAGTATACTTCCCTAATGTTATATTTATGAAGTTATACCAAAATGCGTATTTATTAACCTCTTCTATCCAGGTGATAGAAGGGGTTAATTTCATAAAATATTTGGCCTGAGGGACAGGTGACATGAACATGCTGTCATGGGAAAGAATGGATGTGAGCTGGGTTGCCTGAACTTGCTGTTATGAGCAAAGGCTTAGGGTGACAGAAAAGACTTGCCACAAGTGCACAGAGCTCGTGAAGGGTGATTAGACTTCTTTGATAATTATAAATGGGCTTTTGAATTATTCCCATCACAAACAAATGTGAATGTAATATCCATGTGCCATGGATAGAAGAGTGCCAGCTCCAGGTAGGATGCCATTTCCATGCTTAGCATCCTATACCTGGCTGCCATGATCAGCAGCACAGGTTGTATTAGAGAGTTTAATATCAGGAAAAAGATGACAAATGTCTTCTTTCTTTCTTTCTTTCTTGCACCAAGTTATTTACTACATAGAGAGATGATATGGAGTCTATGCGATAAAAACAGTCTATTACCATTTAGATAAAGCAAATCAAAAGACAAATATGGACATTGCAAAATGACATAAAAGCTATTAATGCTTATGCTAAATAACATTGCAAAGGGGAGGCAAAGAGTCTTGTCACCACACACGAATGTTTGTGTGCACCAAGCCTACACACCACACCTGGCAGAGTGGCTGTTTATGTAAGCCTAATGTCTGTGTTTATTGTCCATGTGATTGCTGCAATGCAACTGGATTCAAGTGGTTAAATTTTCATTCTTTAAAAATACAATGTGATCTATTGTATTATATATGCACTATATTATTGTATTAGAAGCACATGCTGCATCCAATTTTGAGCATGTGCAGCCCTCTCCCAGCAAATTAGACAGTTCTGTTATCACAGTCCTCATTGGTTGTTCCAAAGGTGAAGTTTGTTTACAGTGCTATTTGTGTTTAGAAATTAAAATGCAGCAACCAAGAGAAGGTCCAGAAGGGGGGAGCACAGGTAGGAAAATAGGCGACTGGTAGTGGGTCTGCGGGCTTAGCCCCTGGTAGGGAAATACGGTGATTCAGAGGGGGTCTGGGAGCAGAACCCCAGATAGGGAAATATGGTGTCCAGGAAGAGGTCCGGGGGCATAGCAATTCTGTGGCTTATACTGGCAAATGCTCATTATAGTAGTATTTTGGTTCTATTAAAATCCATTTAGTACTTGCTTTCATCTTTGACTGGAAACCCAACACTAGAATTCATGAATGATGTTGGTAATGCTTCCTGATACACCCAACTATCTGCCACTGGTGGTCTGGGAGGCAAATGATCACTATATCCCTTGTGCTTGTCAAAACTGTGGCAAAAGCCAACAAACTGCTGCTATGTATGCCTTTAAGGTTATTTACTATTTCCTTGCTCAGTCTTATTGGAATACTTATGGAGTTGGATTATAAATTAGGTTAGGTTGTACTTAATTAATCTTTAAAGTTCTTTAATGAGTTTGTTTGTTACAGTTACAGGCACATTTGTAATTGAAAGTAAATAATACTTGGAATCAGTACTGGACATAGTTATAAATTGAAAACATTGAGAATAGAATGTTATCAAGTTTGTAATTTAAACATAGATGCTGTGGTATGCATACTCTGCAAAGGCTAATAATCCACCTTGTATGCTCAGAAAAAGTAAACTGCTTCTATATTTAATGCTAAAATGCTAATCCATATAAAAAATGGTAGTTCCTGTTGTATTTTACTTTAATTATTTATTATTATTATTATTATTTAAAAATTTTATGACTGATTTTCCCTAAATATGTTTTCATTTTTACTAATGCAATCAATTTTGATGCTGTCGTTATTACTGACATTGTGATAAGTATTGTTACGTAACGCACTGTCCCACTGGGTTCGGTGAGCAGCCTTTGACGAGTGTTTTGGCACTCAGGGCACTGAATGGAGTTGGCGGGGTGAAGGACAAACAGGTAGCAATCCACGGTTTATTGGCGTGCCACTAAGTTTATTTACAGGAACTTCTCTCCAAGGAAAGACGGTCACCTCACACACACACGCACAGCTTAATCACCTTAATTCCGTCTATGTGTCCACTTTAGAGAGAGCAGCACAATCGAGAGCGCAGCTACCGTCACGGACCGTCCTCGCTCTCCCAGATCTCTTCTCGAACAGCCCACCACTCCCCTCTCGGAGCCAATCACGACGCCGGATTCTCGTCCCACCTTGCAAGCAGCCTATCACGACGCCGGACTCTCGTCCCGCCTTGCAGGCAGCCAATCACGCAACGGTGCGTTTTTGGCGGGCTTTTCGGCGCCCTGAGCATACACATATTTTGGCGGGCTTTTCACTGCCGCGGACACAAACACACTTACATTATTATAGTACACTTTTTGTAACACTATCCTCCTCCACAGAAATAGTTGACCCGACTATCTTACAGATCATAAGATAAAGTGAAAGTAAAATCATAAAAATGCAAATAAATCCACACAAAGAATAACAAGATAATCAAAGAAAATCACATACAAAGAATGAAGCAATATATGCCAAGAAAATCATATATAAATTTATCGTTTCCTTGTATCATAATCGGCAAGCCATACAGGTGGCTGCCTCTGAGCTTCGGTGACTTCCCAGGCCTCTTGTGTGGGTTGTGAAACCACACCTGATCCCCATGGGAGTACACTGCGTCCCTGGCCCGTTCGTTATACCGCCGCCCCATCGCCTGTCCTGCTATCTTGAGGTGCTGACTTGCTCGGTGCCTGGTCTCCTCCATGCGACGCTGCAGGGTCCTTACGTATTCGGTGTGCGGTACAGGCAATCCTTCGCCCGGCGGCTTTCCTGTTGCGAGGTCGACTGGGAGGCGGATCTCACGGCCGAACATCAGGCATGAGGGCGTGAACCCATTGGCCTCGTGTTCCGATGCACGATATGCCATCAGCATGTATGGGAGCAACTCATTCCAGTCATGCTGGTCCTCCTCGCAATACTTGGCTAGTTGTGTGACCAGGGTGGCACTGAACCTCTCCACCATGCCATCACTTTGGGGGCGCAGGGGTGTGGTGCGGGTCTTGTGGGATCCCAAGGAGACGACAACACTCCCTAAAGACCCAACTCTCAAACTCCCGGCCCTGGTCTGAATGTAACTCACCTGGGACCCCAAAGCGGGTGAAGACTTGGGTCACCAGGAATTCTGCGACTGTATCTGCTTCATGGTTGGGAAGGGCACCAGCCTCTGGCCACTTGGAGAAATAATCCATGGCCACACAAATATATTTGTTTCCCCTTTCAGTGCAAGGAAAGGGCCCAGCGATGTCCACGGCCATGCGCTCCATGGGTGCCCCAGCCTGGTACAGTTGTAGAGGTGCACGTGTCTTCTGTGCAGGCCCCTTCTTTGCTGCACACACCTGACAGGTCCTGCACCACTCCTGGACATCCTGTCGCAGGCCAACCCAGTACACGCGCCACCGCAGCTTCTCCATTGTCCTCTTGATCCCTAAGTGGCCACTGGTCTTCCCATTGTGCACCTCCTTCAGAAGTCCCTCACGGCGAGACAGTGGTGCCACAATTAACCACTGTTGCTTTCCAGTAGCAGCATCCATGCAACTCCGCTGCAATATGCCATTCTCCAGGCGCAATGCCTCCCACTGATCCACAAGAAACTTGGTTGCTGGGCTTTCCAGGGATACAGCCTCCCACTGTGGCCGTTTCTTGCCTGCTTCGAGCCACTGTATAACTGGTGCCAGGTCCTGGTCCTTCTGCTGGTCCTCCCTCCACCTCTTATCGGCCTCTGCTATACTCTCACTAACCACCAACCTCCGACAGGTGATCTCAGACTCGCGATGAAAACAGTGATTACAATCAGGCTCACAAGGGCGGCGGCTGAGACTATCAGCATTGCTATGAACACGCCCAGCACGATGCACCACCTGGTAATTGTACTGTTCCAGCTTCCCAAGCCATCTTGCTAACTGGCCTTCTGGCTCTTTCAAGGTCTTTAACCATCTCAGGGCAGCATGGTCTGTACGGATTGTAAACTGTGCCCCATATAGGTAGTGGTGGAAGTTGGAGAGTCCCTTCACCACGGCTGCCAACTCCTTGCGAGTGACGCAATAATTTCTCTCAGGCTTGGAAAACTTGCTACTGTAGTAGGCTACCACATACTGGGATCTATGGCAATACTGGTGTCTCTACCAGAGCTTGCTTCAAGGCTACAAAGGCTTGATGGCATGCCTCGTCCCACACAAAACTCGCTCCTTTCCTTGTCAGCTGATGCAATGGTGCAGCTATGGTGGCAAAGCCTTGCACAAATCTCCTGTAATATGTACACAGTCCCAAGAAGCTTCTCAGCTCGGCAACAGTCCTTGGCACTGGCCAGCTCTCCACTGCTGACACTTTCAATGGGTCCGTCCGCACTCCTTGTCTGCCCACCACGTGACCCAGGAATGGCACCTCCGTATGAAAAAGGGTGCATTTCTTGGGGCTGAGCTTTAAGTTGGCAGCTTTGAAACGACACAGCACCTCTGTCAGGTGCTCCAGCTCCTCCTCGAAGGTGTTCCCAAACACCAAGATATCGTCTAAATATACCAAGGCCACCTTCCACTGCAGTCCCTCCAGTACTTGTTCCATCAGGCGTTCAAAACATCCAGGGGCGTTGCACAGACCGAAGGGCATGACATTAAAGTGCCACAGCCCCTGACCAAAAGAGAATGCAGTCTTCTCTTTATCTTCCTCTTGCACTTCCACTTGATGGTAACCAGACTTAAGGTCCAATGTAGAAAACCATTGAACCTTGGAGAGTGCGTCCAGCGTATCATCAATGCGAGGCAAGGGGTAGGCATCGGTGACGGTGACGGCGTTCAGAGCTCGATAGTCCACGCAGAATCGTTTGTTCCCGTCCTTTGTCACTAGCACCACTGGGGAGCACCAATTTCTGTTTGAACGCTCTATAATACCGGCCTTTGCCATCTCTTGTACTGCACACTGCATCTCCTCTCTCTTTGCAGGTGGTACTCGACGGTGCGGCTGCTTGATGGGAGGGGTATCACGGGTGTAAATGTGATGTTTCACCATCGATGTGCGTCCTAAGTCCATATCTCCCTGGCTAAACACGTCTGCATACTGATTAAGCAACCGTCGCACTTTTCTTGCTTGCTCACTTGTTAGATGCTTGATGCTCCGTTGAACTAGGTCCTCCAGGTGGCTTGGTATTACTTCCCGTTGCACTACTAGCTTGGCCTCCTTTCCTTGTGACTGCAGGGTGTCTTGTGTTGCAAGATGAAATGAAGTGGTAGTGGGATATGTGAGTCTGGTAACTGCGCACATGGCCTTATCCCGAGTGTGTTGCTTGTTCACATTCTGCTGTTTCCTCCCTTGCTTCGGCTTTACCTGTGCCACTAGGGCATGTTCTCCCAGGATTAGAGGCACCTCATGACCTCTTACTGTCATCCTTCTTCTCTGGAGATCCACACGTGCCAAGTAATCCAGCCCAAGCAAGCAGGGATCCTCCATCTCGGCTACAAACACTGGTAAACGTTCTATCACGTCACCCACATTTAGGCTCACCCACACTGGGCCTCTCATGGGTATACAATCACCAGTAACACCGCATAATTTCTGGCCAGCCTTGGGTATACCACAGGATACAATCAGATCCTTCCTGATAAATGTCAGCTCTGATCCTGTGTCCACTACCATCTCCACAGGGCGCCTGTTGATCTTGCCAGCCACTCTCATGGCTGTGGGCGCTGCCACCTGGCAATATCTTACGTGTACTGGGGCGACATGGTGTCTTGCTGGGCAGCCGCCCCTTCTCCCAGCTGGACCATGTTTCCCTGCCCCAGTTCCTGGCACTCCTTAGTTGAGTGATCCTGATCTCCACATGCCCTGCAACAAGGGTGAAAGATGGGGCGACGGTGATCCTTTGTCGAGCGAGAACTGTTGGCACCACCACTAGTACACTCGTTCCTCCTGTGTCCCTTCAGTCCACACCTCCAGCAAATGCCTTGGAAGCCATCAGGGTTTGTTCTCCTTGAGGGAGGGGATCTTTCAGCCAGGGTCCTCCTCACATGTATGTGGCACGGGCTACGTGTCATCTCTCCCCTGTAATAGCTTGGCGTGGCGGTGAGCAAGAAAGCCTCAAATTCGGCTGCACGCACCAATGCTTCCTGTACGTTGTGCGGCCCTGCTTGCTTCACATGGACCTGAAGCTGTTTGTCATTTAGTGCGTCCACAAAGCTGTCCTTGGCGAGCATGTCAATGGTCTCTTCTGTGGCCATTGGATATGCTCCACGCACCAACACCTCAATATCCTGTGCCAGCTGTGGAAGGGATTCATCCCGCCTCCGTGTCCGTGTCTTTAACTGAGCGCGGTACACCTCTGGCTGCTGGCGACGGCCAAAGCGGCGTTGTAAGGCCCTCACTACACAGGTATACGATTGCATTTGGGCGGCGGTCAAGTGCTCTAACACCTCTACAGCCGCGCCCTTTAAGCTGATGACAAGCTGGTATGCCTTTTCCTCATCATTCCAGCCTTGCCTCCTAGCTACAGTCTCAAACTGGGCCTGAAATGCATTTCACGATACTTTACCGTCATACTCGGCTAGTCGCTTGTCGATCATGGCTGCCCGTGCCACATCCGTTATTCCCAGCTGGTCCTTTGGAATGCACTTTGTACTCGGCAGGGGTGAAGGAAAGAGGGGAGGGGCAGATGGGCCCTCCTCTTCAGCCACATGCTGTTGAGACCAGGGAGTTGGTGCCACTTCTGGCGGGTCTTGTTCCCGTAGAGCCCATGGTGCAGTATTGCCCTCAACTAAGACATGCCCCTGCACTGACGTCAAGACTGCCAACGAAGCCATCATTTGCCGATAGGCCTCCACATCTCTTGTCACTGCTGCCAGCTGGTGTTTCATGGCCTGCAGTGGCTCCTCCACTTCCATTTTAATCTCCCACTTTACATGAGCACAAACATCATTGGTATAGTCTCTCACCCGTGTTTCCATCGCATCCAGCTCTGTCTTCAGTGTATACTTCAATTCACTCGTTGCCTGCAATTGCTGTGCTGCTTGCTCCGCTCTCTCTTCAGTGGCCTGTACTGCCTGCCGTTCCATTGTCTCCCGTGTTTGTGACAACAGTCGAATTATGGTGTCCAAATCCACCCCTGTTACGACAGGGGATGATGGGGGTGGTGTGCCTGCTGCCTGTCTGGTAGGCACTACCTGCTCTCCCGCCATTTCCTGCGTGCCTTCTGTCCTGTCGTCCGCCATATTATCAGCCATTGCGTTCCACCTGTACAAAGGACTTACTCACTTTTATCACTGTACGCCTTTTTTTATCCCACTCCTGACACCAATGTTACGTAACGCACTGTCCCACTGGGTTCGGTGAGCAGCCTTTGACAAGTTTTTTGGCACTCAGGGCACTGAATGGAGTTGGCGGGGTGAAGGACAAACAGGTAGCAATCCACAGTTTATTGGCGTGCCACTAAGTTTATTTACAGGAACTTCTCTCCAAGGAAAGACGGTCACCTCACACACACACGCACAGCTTAATCACCTTAATTCTGTCTATGTGTCCACCTTAGAGAGAGCAGCACAATCGAGAGCGCAGCTACCGTCACGGACCGTCCTCGCTCTCCCAGATCTCTTCTCGAACAGCCCGCCACTCCCCTCTCGGAGCCAATCACGACGCCGGATTCTCGATCCGCCTTGCAGGCAGCCTATCACGACGCCAGACTCTCATCCCGCCTTGCAGGCAGCCAATCACGCAACGGTGCGTTTTTGGCGGGCTTTTCGGCGCCCTGAGCATACACACATTTTGGCGGGCTTTTCATTGCCACGAACACAAACACACTTACATTATTATCGTACACTTTTTGTAACAGTATGTTATTAACAATAATTGCAATAAAAAAAAAAAATTATTGCTAAAAGAGGTTGGGATAATGTGGATTAGTAAACACAATTAATAACCTAAACTTGTAGTGGAGATGATATGTACATACATGCCATCCCAGGTGGCATTGAGTTAATTATAACCCAGTAAATTGGTTTTAAAAGATGTATTTATCTTCTAGGTGTCCTATACCTTATACAGCAAGAATGACAAATAAATGCAATTAAAGTTAAAGCTTGCTCACTGTTTTTTCTTCTTACATTGGAAAAAAGTTAGAGAATATTTCCAGAATGAGAATTTGTAAGTGGAACCTTTCTTTAAAAAAAAAAGTTGACATTTTATTACATGCAAGCTAATAAAAAAAATATGCTTGGATATTGTTCCAGCACTGGATTTTATAATATTTTGGCTATTCTTCAGGTATACACTCGCACTTGCACACTGTCGTTTAACGCAATATTCATAGTTGGATCGAGACTCTGCTGGGATATTTTTCCAGCATTTTTTGTTGGAAGCCTGCACTGGAGAGCTATTTTTCCGGCAGGGATGCACATAATCAAAATTTTTAATTATTCTTAGGACCAAGTGGACATATGCTAAGCTTGCTACAGTTTGACATTTCTGTGATTTTCATCCCTATTCTGTGATTTTATTGTGTCTATAAATGATAGGACTGCACCCGTCAGAGACTGGTGCGTTCTCCGACTCCCGCCAACAATGTAGGGGGATCCTGTGGGGAATTGGGTATTGGGGGGGGGGATGATTTCGTTCATACCATGCATTTTAAAATGCAAAAGAAATTGAAAATCCGAGCCAAGGATAATATTTCAGATGATAAAGAAAGTGAAAAATGTTGGAACCCGAGAGAAGATTCCCAATTGCCGTATTTCCCGATGCAGGCAAACACTAAGTAGGAGTACTTCAACTCTGGCTTTACTTTCTTATCCAGTTACAATCTAGAAAATGATAGGCTTTGTTCAGGAAAATATGTTGCTAAATCCCCCAAAAATTGGGAATATCAATTCAAGGAATTTTTTTGTAAATGTTTTGAGCAGCAGGAAACTTCATGTAGGAGAAAGTATAAAAAAAATTTGCTTTTTCTTCTTTTTGTAGGGGACCAATTAATGATTTAGGAGATGACAAGAAATATAACATTCATACTTACAACACCTAGGTGGGCAGGCTTTGTGAGCACTCCAGGTTTGAAGCCAAAGCAGAGAGAAGTGATACAAACTTTGTGCCAGTGCTACTGAGTGAATTATTTGCCTCATTGCAAACTCCACTGGAAATGTCCCAGTATTATATGTTTCCAGTAATAAGATATTTTGGGGGGATTCAGTTGCATGCTCTAAAAGTTTTCGTCTTTTTTTATTTAATGATTTTGTCTACAGATTCTTTTCCTTTTGAGAGCCCAGTACACTGAGAGGTTTTGATTTAAGCTGTTTTATTATGTTATATAGAAAAAATAAACTAAAGAGTGATACTTTATAGCTATTGTAAGGTTATATGTGCAAATACAGTGTATCAGTATGGAAGGACTTACATTAAAATTTGCATATAAATATCTTGGTTATAGATAATTTAAACTAGGCCACACTACATGAAAATTTTGCATATTGATAACTTACTTATAATTGATTTAACACTAGACCACATCTAGTCATGACATTAATTAAGCAATGGCTGCAACAAGAGTTGTTATATGCCTAATGTCAATAATATATTTGCACTACAGTTGATGCTTCTGTGATTTTTATCAAATTGATATAGGCAATAAAACATGTATAAACATAAGAATGGATATAATAATCAGGTGGGTACACAACAAATGGCACATAGCCTTGATTTACAGATTATGTAGGTTAGCACTTCCACGTTTATGCTGAGAATAGTTGGGCTCATAATCATACGAGAACAGTAACCAAGTGCCAGTGGTTTCTCTTCTATCTCATTCTGTGGCCCCAACTAATACATCATAATATTTCATGGCCCCAATCAGCAGCTGTCATCTTCAGATTCAGTTTAGTTAGTTTATTAAATGGTATCAGTACCTATAGAACAGGAACACATTATTGAATGATTACAAAAAATTCATATGTTCGAGATAATTATGTGTTGGTACTGCAGGTGAGGTAAAATTCAGTTTGATTGATGTCAAATTCTCATATTGCTCAATGGCCCCTAGGTTGGCAGCCCTTTTACTATGTCCTTGAACACACAGTATTAGACAGAATGGAGGGGTTACTTGAAAAATATGTATAGTATTAACATGTGTTGAACTTGAAGTACAATATCTTTTTATTTATAAAATTTTACCATACCAAAAAATAGAATTCCTAAACATTGTTAACCCGTAGCCGATGGGTGGCATGTACATACATGCCATGGCTGTTGTGAACCAAGACACGGATGGCATCTTATCATGCCCATTTCCATGCCACTGTATCGGACGAGTTTGTTTTTCTCCGATAGTAGCAGTTTCATTTATATGGTAAAGATTTTAGGAAGTGGCACCTATAATGAAGGTAAACCTTCAAACTTTTAATATTTTATAAATTATAGCAAAATAAAAGCTTGTAAGTGCTAACTCTTGCTCGCAAACTATCAATGGAGCTGGGCACAAACGGGAAACTGTTGATGCGCGCCAACAATCCTGTTCTTACGTTCGCTTGCCAAACATTTTTACCTGTCGGCACTGGGTTAATTTATTTGTATCAAAGTGTTTTTGTCAGATGTCATAGATGTGGCATGCTGTCAAGTATCACTGACATGGAGTAATGCTTACATGATCTTTTGTAATAAATTAATGGCAGAAAAAGAAATTACTTCACTTTGTATCTTGGATATATTATATTATACATGACAGTTAGCTATGGCATTTGTAATGATTTTATAATACTATATATATTTTTTTTATAATAATTATCTTCAACATACTACCTATTCTAAAATGGTTTGTTATTCCTTGTCAGGTTTAAATTTCAGAATAGATTTCATTGATAAGAATATAGTATTTAATAGATGATAACCATAGCAAAAATTATAATGTTTTTTTTTTTTCCAGCTCTGATATCCAAGTAGGCAACCCTGAACATCAGACTTCAGACAGAGATTATCTTTGGAATTCTTTGAGATGGTGTGTGTTAGTTGAGCTGAAGTACTTGCTGTGAAAAAGTAGAACATTGTTAAGAATTTTAAGCAAGCCATAGCCAAAATGACTACAACAGAACAAAGTGCTGTCAACAAAACATGGGAGCTCTCTCTCTATGAGCTCCACAGAACTCCACAAGAAGCCATCACTGACAGTACAGAAATTGCAGTATCTCCACGTTCTCTCCACTCAGAGCTAATGTGTCCCATTTGCTTGGACATGTTGAAAAACACAATGACTACGAAGGAGTGCCTACATCGATTCTGCCAAGTAAGTGTTTGTTCTTTATAAATACCTTAAGTTGTGTGACTAAAGTTCTCATCTTTTTTTTCTCATTTATTTCTTGTGGTTTCGGTAATGAGCCATACATGTTTTTTGCTACTAGATTATTGCTGAAAAGTTATGTTCACTTTCAACTAACTGGTTGGTTGTTGAGAGGAATGCTTTTATGATTTCTAGATAACTGAAAATGAAATCATTGTTGCAGGAATGCATCATCACAGCACTAAGATCTGGCAACAAAGAATGTCCAACATGTCGCAAAAAGCTTGTGTCTAAAAGATCACTTCGTCCAGACCCAAACTTTGACACCCTCATATCAAAAATTTACCCCAGCCGTGATGAATATGAGCAGCACCAAGAGAGAGTATTTGCAAAGCTGAACAAGAACCACAATCATGCTTCCTTAATCACTTCTATAGAGGAGGGCATCAGGCTACAGATTCAGAGCCGACAGAAGAACAGAAAATCCATGCAGGAGGAGGGGACCACTCCAACCCCAACGCCATCAGCACCCTCCACCCCTACCCCCAGTGAACCCAACACCCCAACCACCACCAACACCAGTGCTGCAACCACAGCCAATCCCAACAACTCCACCAATGCTACAAATTCATCAGCTCTAGGGCCTAAGGTAAAGAAGCCTCGAAGAACCTCGGAAAATGAATCTGGTGCAGGGTCCAGTAATGACGGTAATCCCGGTGAAGAGATTGAAGGACCTATAGAATCAGGGGAGATCGAGTTGGTATTCAGACCTCATCCACTAGAGATGAATGAGGACAATGAATTGATACGGGAATTGAAGGACTCATCCATACGTTACATTAAGACAACAGCTAATGCTACAAGTAAGTAAATACATTCTCTCTCCTGGTAGCTTTTTTTTTTTTCTCTCTCTCTCTCTCTCTCTCTCTCTCTCTCTCTCTCTCTCTCTCTCTCTCTCTCTCTCTCTCTCTCTCTCTCTCTCTCTCTCTCTCTCTCTCTCTCCCCCCTCCCTCCCCCCCTCCTTCCGACCTTTCTCCCCTACCTTTCTCTCTCCCATTCTCCCTCCCTTCCCCCTCTCCCTCTCCCTCTCCCTTTCATGTGCTGTGTAGTGCATCTGTGGTGTTTACGTCTAGCAATTTTACTGACCTTTGTTCGATCCTGCACACTGCCAGTGGATAGTAACCCAGTCCATTCATGCAGATAGGATAATTTAGAAGCAAATAAACAGAATGCATGTTACAGCAAAGAATATCCATTGTAATAAATGAAATTAAACTAAATTTTTTTATTTTTTATCTTTATTCTTTCCCTCTCCTTCCCCCTCTCCCTTCCACCCAACCCTTACCATTTCCTACAACATTTCTCTTTGCCATCCTTTACCTTTTGCAGAATGGTCTAAATCCTCTGAGTAGGGCAGTTTTGCAGAGTAACGAAATACCTTTACTTTTTTGTTTCCAGTCTTACCAAATATAATATGCAAAGTAATCTTACCTGAGTTATTTTTAGTTGTAATACAAATTTTTCCTAAGAAAGCTGCATATCCATAACATCTCTTTTCTTTTACAGTTGACCACCTCTCCAAATACCTGGCTATGCGGCTTACCCTAGCAAACAGGACGGGAGAACTAGAGACTGAACTCCCATCATCTCTCAATAACTTCTGTATCTACATAGCTCCAACTCCAGACCAATATATTGGTGTTGGTGGTTCACTCACACTAGAACAAATCAATGAAAAATATTGGAGAGTAAATAAACCCATGGAAATGTTTTACTCTTGGAAGAAAAATTAAAATGCATGTTAACCAGTAAGAAAAAAATATATATGCAAAAGAACATCAGCCAAATGTTTGGGTCTTAAGGATAGTTGCACAGTCTGAAACAAAATCATGTGTTGGGTTTGAAAAGCTTTTAATGGATTGCAAGATGAACTTCAGGTTTTTGCGGCATACCTCTTAAATGCAGTAATCAGGATACCTGTGTTTCTAGTAAAGGACTGAAATTATGTTCAGAGATTTTCTGGTAAATTCTTACCATTATCAGAACAAGTAGCAGTGTGAGATCAGATGTAGTTATTTCAGTATAGCATAAAATCACTTGGTTAATTAGCACTACTAAAATTCTTAATTTTCTTGCAGAACTTTTTGATGGCTAACAAAATTTGTAATCAAAGCAAAGAAGAAATAGGATAGACATGACCAAATCAAGGAAAATATTCCCCTCTCTCTCAGTGGACTGCAACTTTAATCTAGAACATATTTACAGATTTTATGAAGAACACAGGTATTTATTTTATTGTGCCTATGACAGAGTACACTATGAATTCTCATTTCAACCCTGGACGATCACACCTTCTGGTGAATATAATAACAAACTCTGGGAATGCTTTTGTTTTGATATTGTGATAGACTGATGTAAGCAAGATATAGTATTAACAAGGTATTGAAACATTAAGGTTTCATTTTAGAACTAGAGTTGCTGGAGGAGTGATAGTACATGTGTATACATATCATGCATATGCATGTAGACTATATATATCCATATACAGTTATATACATGTATATGTGTGCCTTTTATTCTTTTGGGTTATGGAGTCTGATTTTTTCTTACTTTCTGAATAATCAGTTGTGCAGGTAGGACTGTAGTTGGTGTGTTCGATACAGTATATGGTTTTTTTTTTTTTTTTACTTTTTTTCTTTTGACATCTGATTAGTCTTTGACTATTCTTGATAATTAATATAAGTTGACAAAGCTTTGGGCTATGAAGAGAGGTATTTAAGGTGTCACTCAGTACAGTAAGAATCATTCATCTAGAATGTAGAGTAATTTCATCCTAAACTCTTCGTTGTAACATCTTGGTTATGGGACAGTCCATCATAACTCACATTTCACAAGAGACATTTTGCACAAGGATGGATTAGGAGGACTTTGGGATCTGGAGATTTTTGTCAATCAAATACAGTTTTTTTTTTTTTTTTTTATGTTGTTGTTGTTGTTGTAAATGGGAATGAGTTTACCTTTGATAACTTCCTGTAACAAATTTACAAAGCTGAAATAATATTATCAGATCAGAAT